TAAATCTGACACATCTCACATCAACATGCTTTTATCATCTTTTTAAGTTTAATGAATGTGCTGGCTAGATTTACTTATTGTAGTCATTATGTCAACAAGGTTTAGCTTAATTAAATCATGGCCACGAATTAAGAACATCGTAATAATCAATAAAACTAGCAATCGGGTATTCATTATTATTTCTTAGCAGTTCTCGCGTTGGCTAAGTAAACTTTGCATCGTTTTAAGGTTAAAAATAAAACTTAATTGAAAATCGGTACAGTTACTCACTCTGATTGCTGTCCGTGTCGTCCATCTTTAGTGATCCAATTCGGTAGGTGGCGCTGTTACAAAAGAATAGGGTCCTAGAACTGCGGTCCTGAAACTGCAGCCTCCGGTTGTGCAGAACATACTATTGGGCCGGGATGACGTCCATCACTGTGACGTCGCGTGGCACCGCCTTTACATGTTTCAACTCGGTCCTGTGAGCAACTGTAAAGCTGCGCTTCCAGCGGCTGGAGGTCAGTTTCGGCTTCTTGTGAGACTAAGATTAATCTGCTACAGCAAACATGTCAGGAAGAGGCAAAGGCGGGAAAGGGCTCGGGAAAGGAGGCGCTAAGCGGCACCGTAAAGTGCTGCGGGATAACATCCAGGGCATCACCAAACCCGCCATCCGCCGTCTGGCGCGCCGCGGCGGCGTCAAGCGCATCTCCGGCCTGATCTACGAGGAGACCCGCGGTGTGCTGAAGGTGTTCCTGGAGAACGTGATCCGCGACGCCGTGACTTACACCGAGCACGCCAAGAGAAAGACGGTCACCGCCATGGACGTGGTGTACGCGCTGAAGCGCCAGGGACGCACTCTGTACGGCTTCGGAGGATAAACCTCTCCAACCTTGCACTCAAAACCCAACGGCTCTTTTCAGAGCCACCCACACTTTCATAACAGAGCGTGCCTTTCAGTGTGCTCTGGTTTTTATATAATCTCTTAACTACTAAAGCTCAGTTTGACTTCAACTCAAACCAGAAACAAGTCTCTCATATACACTTGAAATTGCAAGGGGTTTTAGGGGTCTTTGAGCAATTGAAATGTGTTTTAGGTCGTCGATCTGATCGTAAATCTGGTCTTCATACAGTTAATGAGTAGTTCTTCCATAAATCTCTTTAATGTGTGTAAAAAAGACGCATTAATGCAAAAGCTAACCGAGAGTAATTTTGCGCGGGAAAGTTAGACAAAGAAACTGGAAGTTACTCGGGGGCGGGGCGAGAGGAGGGACTAAACCGTCGAGGCATACGATTGGCTGATGTTCCCGCAAGCCGGTCGTCGTCGTCATAGACATATAAATACCTAGACGCCTCATTGGCCGCTTTGAGCTGTTGCTGCGATACGTCAACGCGGCCGCCATGTTTGTGAAGGCTGCCTTAAAAACAAATGGAGGTAAACGGAGGAGCTGCGTTTTTTTCTGGATAAAAACACGATAACGTTTACATTTATCAGGTGTCTATTAGGTTTGTGATCTACATGGAGTTAAAAATAACTCTGCCTCCAGTTATGTAGTTAGGTTTGGAAAATAATTAATTTTCGTAAGAAATTGTGAGAACTCACACTTGTCTCACTTGTTGATTTGATAGATTTTCTCGGTTTACAATTCTAATGTTGATGTAGTATAACTGTGACATATCCATGTTTTATAATTTGAATGTACATTAAATGAAATTAAGTTGTTTCACTGCTTTCTCTGTCTCCAACCCCAACACTTGAGCTTTTCTCGTGCTTCAGGTCAGAACACAGCTCATTCCCTTTGAAATACTGGAAGAAAATCTAAATAATACATCTTTAAGCACTTAATAATTTACCATCATTGAGAAAATGTAATAAAACCAGCGAATACAAATCAAAAAGTGACACTCTTGGTAGTCTGCTTTTTATTTTGATAGCACTCTAAACTCCACAACAAACAATAACAAATGCAACTGATAAGCCTTTATGGATGCAGTAAAACTGTTACAGTGGTCAAATATCATGCACTGATACAGTGCACAGTAAAAGTGATATGTAATATTAAAAAGTATATGTAGTACAAGTTGTAGTAAAGTGAATAATATAAAAAGCGAGTACAACAGTATATAATAGATTTATAATAGCATAAATTATATGTATATAATACCAAAATAAATAGATCAATAATAGCAAGTAGAATATGTAATATCAAGGGTGGAATAATACACAATAGACAATAATGAAGAATAAATTAATAGTAAATTATAAAGTAAAATAAATAATAATGAAATGTACTTTTATAATAGTATTGTGTAATAATTATTAAACAAAGTAAGGGGGTGGTTAGAATATGAGCAGGGTAATTCTGGGTTGTAACTAGTACTAATACTAACATTAGGCTGTGGAAGTATAGCCTACTCTCTTGGAAATGCAGACAACAGGCTTTCTTCAGCTCTCCTTAAGGCTTGCGTTGTCCTGTTTGCAATTGGCTGAATAGGAAAAATATATATATATAATAAATCCACAGATTTATGATAAGCTATGAAATCCTTATAATCAAGTGATGATAAATGTACTCTGTAAATAAGTAACGTTAGTGAAATTAAAGAGAGATGATTTAGCTCCATCCCTAATCCTGACAGTCTGGCATTGTCTTGTCAAAGTGCTCACTGTACATATTGTGCTCATAACACAATTTACTTTATGATATAAACTACAAAATAAAAGTTAAAACTTAAGAATTCATCACAGCTTACTAGCGATATCGCTAGCTATTAATAGTCTGACACTGGTGGCTAATTAAGCTGTCAACATAAAGCTAAAATGACCAAAAAACATACAGAAACAACTGTTGAGTCTTACCTGTGAAAGATAATACCCCGAGATCTGTTTTTATTATTGTGCGACGGTTTGTAGATGCCCAAGCTGCCGATGAGTCAGGTATGTTTTCGCCTGTCCCGATATGAGAGTTGGGGATGGGCGTATCGATTCGAGTATCGATATATCGATATTGACGCGAGTATCGAAAGTATCAGTACTGAAACAAAAAATATCAATACTAAGGTGTGTTTTATTTACCAGTGATTTTGTTTATTTAACAAAAAAATAATAATGTGTACAATATGCATTGAATTGGACGAATAACGTCTCAGGTTACTTATGTAACCATGGTTCCCTGAGTAGGGAACAAGACACTGTGTCCTCTATGGGTCGCTATGGGGGGGACTTCTCGTCGTGACACGTGTCTGAAGCATACATTGAAAAAACACCAACTCGTTGGCCGGCGACAGCCATGACATCACTACCGGTGCGACTATAGTATAAATTGGCGCCGGGAGCACACATCATCCACTTCTTCGTCTGAAGCTTGCATCCGCAGCATGGCAAGAAACCTAGAGGACGCAGTGTCTCGTTCCCTACTCAGGGAACCATGATTACATAAGTAACCTGAGACGTTCCCTTTCATGGGAACTTCGAACTGCGTCCTCTAGGGGTCGCTATGGGGAACGGTATACACACGCCACCATGCTGAGGGGAGTGCATGCCAGCTATGGGAGTTGCCCCTGGGACGTTAGATGGCTGTCAGTGATGTTATTCCCTACGGCCAAAGGCCTAGGCTACATACCCCAAAATACTTACCTGTTAGGGCCAGACTCCTGGGCCCGGGGT